GGTAGGTCATTCAGGGTGTTATGAAGGGTTGAGGTGTCTATGGCACAACGTCTAACAACTGGGGTGCCTCAAGGCTCGGTGCTTAGACCACTTCTCTTCTCCATCTACATGTCACACAAGGATATGTCATTCAGAAACATGGTTCTCATTTTTCCTATCATTGCTATGCTGATGACACACAACTCTACCTCTCATTCCAACCAGACGATGTGACAGTAGATGCTTGAATCTCGGCTTGCCTGACAGACATTTCTTGCTGGATGAAGGACAACTCAATCTTACAAAGACAGAACTGTTTGTTGGTCTTGACCAACCCAGCACTTCATCACAACTTCTTCTTTCAGCTGGGTTCGTCAACCATAACTCCATCCAGGACAGCCAGGAACCTTGGAGTTGTGATTGACGATCAGTTAAACTTCACAGACCACATTGCTAGAGCTGCCCAGTCCTGCAGATTTGCCTTATACAACATTAGGACGCTAATTTATGCTACACAACTCCTTGTACAAGCTCTTGTTCTATCCAGACTGGACTATTGTAATGCTCTCTTGGCAGGTCTTCCAGCATCATCTGTCAAACCTCTGCAACTGTCCCAGAATGCTGCAGCTAGAGTGGTCTTTCTCTATTTGATACTCACACTTTAACTGCTTATGCAAAACGTTAACATTACTAAATACATCAGTCCCAGTTAGGTTTTTAAACATCGCTTCTCCTGTTCTCTGAACTGAACTGTCTTTAAAGCACCTCTCTCCCCTCATTACCATGCATATATTGGCCTTGCAAAACTAGTGTCTCCTACAATCATTGGGGCCAAGGGGAGATTAATTAGAGACCTTAGTGCTCCTCTGACGGGCAAAGCAAACAGCCTCTCTCTCAGCCTGTAATTTATGTAATGTCCCCTTTACTGTGGATATCAGGAATGGCTTTTTTTCTTTTCTTTTTTTGGTTGATACTCCGTTGCTGGGTGGTAATGATGCTTCAGTCTGCTCTCCTGCCTTTTCTGGACTATTCTGGGAGAGTGTAGGAGAGAAAATAGGATGTTTTTGTACTGTAACATCAAACAGCAAGTTTCAGAGTAAGTTCAAGCCCAGCTGAGTTCAGAGGCGTGCAGTGCATGTGAACTATTGTGCTAGTTTTTGTCTTAGTTCTTTGTTAATGTTAAAAGCCTTAGAAGCAAAATCCTGTCACATTATCTGGTGGAGCTTCAATGTGATTGAGGACTGTCATGGTGTTTGGCAAATTGTTGGGTCAGACCCGAGCAGCAGTGCAATTGTACTGCCAGCCTGATGCGTAATTGCTTGTTTGTGTGAGGCCTTTTTGTCGTTTCTTTCAGTATGTTATGCTGCATTAGATAATAGCTGTCCTCCCAGCTCTCAAAACAGTTAGGTGACATTTTTAGAAGATTCACCAGAGTTTTGAGAGTCTATTCATGCTCTTCAGAGAAGATTCAACTAACGGAGTATCACATGGTGTGCCGCATAAAGGGAATTTAACACTGGTTGGGGACTTTTGGGCTCTGCGTGTGATGCATTTAGATTTAAGCACTTTGTTCTTCTTTGGTCGTTTCACCAGTTCACTAGTTAATTTTAATGTAAAACGCTGTTGTGTTTATTACCGAAGGAATAAAGCCCCAGGAAACCTTTTAAAAAGTGCACATTAAAGCAAGTACTAACACAGAGAAAATGCTTAAGCTATCATGCTTTCTAGTGATACACAAAAAAATTAAGCCATGTTTGTCATGGCCAAATTATAGGTTTTATTCTTAGATCAATTGGAACAAAAAGAACAACCATCTTGGTACCAGAACCAGATCATAAAAAAGAAAGAAAAAATTATCTTTGCTATTTTTCTTCAAAATATAACTTGCTCAAAAGTTTCACTGCCAGGTGAAACTGCCAGGTTTTATTAAAAGCGAATTTTACCAGCAGTGAATTCCACCTTTTAAAGGCATTGTTTACCCAAAAATTATAATTTACCCTAATGTTGTTCCAAACCTGTGTTACTTCCTTTTTTCCATGTGGAACACAGAAGATGATATTTTGAAAAATGTACAAAGAAAATCTTCTTTTGTGTTCGACAGCAGAAACACCCTCCTTCAGGTTTATTTTGATGGGACCCAATATCGCTCATCATTTAGTACCCAAATGCAACTAAATTAAGACTGTTCAATTAATGCCATTTGTATCTTTCTTTTGTCGCTTCAGTCTTTTCCTATTGCTTGCTCTCAGATCTGTCATAAATAAGTATGATTACTGCATGTTCAAAGAATCCGAATTTTTCAGAGCTACTTCCTGCCACAAGTGGAAATTGTCACTTTTGGAATAAATTGTAGGCATTACTCATGTGTGGTTATGAGTGTGCTGTCTGCCAAATCTCTCTCTCTCTCTCCCTCTTTCTCACTGACTTTTCTCTCGCTCTCAGATAAATGAGAATTTATTCCTCTTTGAGTTCTGGCTTAGACGGAGAGAAATGCAAAGGGTCGCGGAGCTCACTCGCAGCTCAATGAAAGGAAAAAAAGAAATAACTGTGTGCATTTTAATTGTCAATGAATGAATGTGGAGCGGCATCGCAAGGCTTCACAGCAAAAACTCTCGTCATAATTTATTAAATTCGCACCATCATCAACACATCAACGGCTTTTCAAAACATGCACAATTAAAATGTGCACTCAAAGGGTGGAAAGAAGACAAAAAATTATATAATCATCAACGTTATTGTGCATTGAGAGGATGACAATTTTCTTGGCAATGTTGAACATGAAAGATAAAGGAGGATTAGACTGATGCAGCAGCGTTGATTTGTGCCTCTACATTATTATTGCTGTGACAGTGTCTTTTTTCAGGTTTTTGCTTGTATTATGTGTATGAATACCATGGTCGTTCAGAAGTCACTCATGCTCACCAAGGCTGCATTTATTTGATCAAAAATACAGTAAAACAGTAATATTGTGAAATATTATTACAATTTAAAGTATATTTTAAAATGTAATTTATGGCTTTGATCCTTCAAAAGTGCAGCTTTTGAACTGTGACTTTTTTTCAGGATTCTTTGATGAATAGGAAGTTCAAAAGAACAATATTTATTTGAAATGGAACATTTTAGTAACAATGTAAAAGTCTTTACTGTCACAATTTTTATTGCATCCTTGCTGAATGAAAGTATTAATTTCTTTTAAAAAAATAAAAAATCTTACTGACCACAAACGTTTAAACTGTATTGTATTATATTATCATGGTATGATTTTAAAAGTACCAAAGCATAGAGCTGCTCATTCAATTATGTTATATAATTGCAATATCATCTTATAGTAAATATAATTCAAAACATTTTCAGAAGAAAATATTAGTGTTGTTTGCCCATTCAAAACTCATCACTACGATGCTAGAGGGTTCTGGGTGTTTTATTACTGGCACAAATCTAGATCAGATCATTGAGGCAATGTGGGTTATTACTTTTCTAAGCAATTTTAATTGACCTTATTATATTTTAGTTTGGTGTGTAATAAATTTACAGCACATTGAAGGAGGGACGCAGGTGCTTTCACATCTGTAGTTCGGTTCATTTGGTCCGGACTAAGGGTGAAAAATTATACTTTGTATCATTTCATGCTCTGGTCGAATCAGTTGATGAGTTGACTTATGGGTGCTTTCACACCTGCCTCATTTAGTCCGGTTGAATCGTACTAGAGTTCGTTTTCCCCTTTGGTGCGGTTCGTTTGGGCAGGTGTGAATGCAATAATCGCACTCGGGTGCGTACCAAAAGCGGATCAAACAAGTAAACAAGCATGGTGTGATCCGACCTTGAACAGACCCAACTGCCAAAGAACTGCGCATTTTTGGACTAAACCAGCTGCCGTAGTCAAACAAAATTAATATTTAGATTGTCAATAGCGCTCCCTTTAAGCCATGACTGACTTACCGCATTCTGCACTCTCACTAAAACTCTCATCATAAACACTGAAGTTGTCCGCACTGCACAGTGAATATCTTATTTATATCGCGACTAGACTTTGTTGTTTATAAGGGGATTTGCAAAAGTATAAAGCTCGTGCTGATTCTGAACATACATTGTGAGCGAATTCTCCGCATGTCTGCCGGATTTTACTCCTCTTTAGCCCCTTTCACACAGCGCTTTGAACCCGGCAAATTGCCGGCAAATTGCCAGAGTGCCTTCTGTGTGAACGCAAACACGACCCGGGATTGATGCCGGGTTGGGGACCTAGTAACATTGCCGTGTTCAGACCCGGTGTTGTGCCGAATTTCGACCCCCGCCAAATTATTACCCCCCTAGCATTGGTAGGTTTAGGGTTAGTTGTGGGGGAGGGGGTAGGATTAGGGGCGGGGTTGGGATTAGGCAATCAGGTACTGACTTCAACGAGGGGGGTAATAATTTGGCAGGGGGTCGAAATTAGGCACAACACCGGAACATACACGGGTTGTGTGTGAACGCGCTCTCTGATTCCCGGCAAATCACTGGCAGTGTGAATGAAGCAAAATCAAACGAACCCGGGTCACTTTATCCGTGTATTTTCCGGAATCTCTGTGTGAAAGGGGCTTTTGTTTACTTCTGGAATTTTCCCGCACGTTAATTCTGACCAATCGAAGTGCAGTAATGGAAATACGTTCAAGACACATCTGGCCAACGAGTGATGTGGATGTTGTCACGTGACTGCATTTTGGTTCGTTTCATCAACTCATCAACTGATTTGGACCAGAGCAATCAGTGTGGTGTGAAAAGGAACCAAAACGCCTGAAAATTATACAAAGTATAATTTTTCGCCCTTTATCCGGACCAAATGAACTGAACTACAGATGTGAAAGCCCTCCTTCAGTGTGCTGTAAATTTATTACGCACCAAACTAAAATAATAAGCTCAATTAAAATTGCTTAGAAAAGTAATAACCCACATAGCCTCAATAAACTGCATGGTTTGTGATCATTCATGCCAGTAGTACATCCGATTCTTTTGAAAAAAAACTTGATTTTGTGTTTGCTTTCCAGGGCAGGAGCAGCCATGCCATTTGGCTGTTTGACTCTGGGAGAGAAGAAGGACTACAACAGTCCTTCAGAGGTCACCGATAAGTATGACCTGGGACAGGTAGTGAAATCGTGAGTACAAATCTATCTACCTCTTATTTTCTTCCTGTTTATAGTATTCTTTCTGTGCAAAATGTATGCTTGAGAAAATGTTCCTTTTTTGCACTTTTCTAAATTAATATTTTTTTTTCTTCATTACAAAATTATTTCCAGGTTTAAATTAATTAAATCCCAGATTTTCAATGTTGACTCAATAGCACTGTTTATTGTCTGCGTTACCAGGGAGGAGTTTTGTGAAATCTTCAGGGCGAAGGACAAGAACACACTGAAAATGTACACCTGTAAAAAGTTCCTGAAGAAAGATGGGAGAAAAGTACGGAAAGCAGCCAAAAACGAGATCCTCATCTTGAAAATGTACGTTTTCTGCGCAGGTTATTTAGATGTTACACATTTTAGTGAAGAAAGGTGCTTGCAGATGGTGCTCAGTGCTGAAATTTGTTTAAAAAGAATAGCAGAATGCAGTCGACTCTTTACCATGCAAATGATTTTATTTTTGCAGATAGTCATGATTTCTTTTCAGTTCCTAGCCTGCTTCCTTTCACAGTGTCACAGTTTCTCTCTGTCTCTCCCCGCAGGGTGAAGCATCATAACATCCTCCAGCTGGTAGATGTCTTTGAGACGAGAAAAGAGTACTTCCTCTTTCTGGAGCTGTAAGTGCTTTGAGATTTTTGTTTGTGAGAGGGGAAAAGAACATACAAGAATGTGAATGAATACTATTCGCTTCCATTGTGATTAGATTTTAAAGAAATACTTGAACAAAAATGAAAATTCTTTTATTATTTACTCAGCCTCATGTTGTTCCAAACCCATGTCACTTTCTCTCTTCTGTGGAACACACACACTATATATATATATATATATATATCCCCTGAAAGGATAGGGATGTGCAACATAGAATAATAGAAAAGCAAACAGTATTTACCCAGTAGTAGGGACTGGGGTTTTCAAACTGGTTGGTAAATGGTTGAAATGTTGACACATTTTCTTTTAGGGGACTGTTTCTTTAAGTAAAGATGCATTTGTTTTTTTATTATCTATAAAATAATTTTTTTTTATCTATAAACCAAAGAGTGGACATCTTTGTGAAATTATCCTATACATTGACTATCACATGTGGATATTTGGTTTGGCTTTACTTCAGGGCCACAGGAAGGGAGGTGTTTGACTGGATCTTAGACCAGGGCTACTACTCAGAACGTGACACCAGCAATGTGATTCGGCAGGTGCTTGAGGCTGTGGCTTACTTACACTCTCTCCACATCGTTCACAGAAACCTAAAGGTGACTTAAGGCTTCACTTCCATCTAATGGTCACCACATAGTATTGCACCAGAATACAATCTCAGACTAGACACCGTTAATTTACGTTAATTTACGCAAAAAGGAACATTCTATTATCATTGACATGACTTTCATCTCTTGCTTTTTAATACAATCCTAATAATTCCTATAAAAGGTTTTGCAATGTGAAGTTCTTGAGGTTTAATACAATTTATTGCTTTTACTACTATATCTCACCTTGTCAGCTGGAAAATCTGGTCTACTACAACCGTCTGAAGAACTCCAAGATTGTAATCAGTGACTTTCACCTGGCCAAACTGGAAAATGGTCTCATCAAAGAGCCATGTGGCACTCCAGAGTACCTTGGTAAGGAAAAAGTGTCAGAGTTTTCAGGTGTAACTGCACCCTATATTATGACTTATGGTTATTAATAAATATATTGATATAACTATAATATATTAAGGTCAATGATGTAACACTAATCAATTTAAGTTATTTAAACAAAAGATAATTCATATGGACAATGAATTCAATACACCCCCTTTTTAATTCCTGAAATAAAATAAATAAATAAATAAATAACCTTTTTGCGAGGTTGACAGTAAAATCAAAAAACTTTGTGTAAATTTTTTTTTTTTTAATAATTATTAAAATTTGCATTCAAGGTCTCAGGAACTTATTTAAAGGTCCCATATTGTCAAAACTGAAATTGCCTGTCTTTTTTCATGATAACAGAGGTGTAGGTAACGACCATATAAGTTTCAAAACAGTCAATCCACAGACAAATGCAAACAGCCTGCATAAAGTAGCTGTGCCTTTTCACAAGCCGTTGTGATTTCCGTAAAAATGTGACGTCAGATCTACTTAGTCACCACCCCGAACACTGGCCACCGTCCCTCCCAACCCCCAGACAACATCGTGTCCATGCCATTACTGAGCAACAACAACACGGAAACATGTCGAGAAAATGCTGTTCAGTCGATAGATGTCAGGAAACTACATCATTGCACAGGCTTCCGAACAACATTAATATAAGAGACCAGTGGCTAATGTTATGAAATAATGAAATACCACAGCAATTTAGTTCGACCTTACCCGTCTGTTCTGCACATTTCACAAGTGACTGCTTCGTCAATCAGGCCCAATTCAAAGCCGGTTTTTCAAAGAAACTACTCATTAAAGATGCTGCAGTCCCTACATGGTTCGGTCCGACCTCAAATTTGCAACCTGTAGGGTAAATAAACTTCTGACACATTTTATGTTACATTATGGAGCCAGCATAATTTGATATTATAGTTTGTAAACGGATGTGCAACACTAACTTTAGTGTTGCTAAATTGATGCTGTCATGTTGTTTTGTACAGTCTATGGTTGCCACAAGCTTTGATAGAATATCTGTTGGAAACAAGACAAAAAAAAAAAAAGTAACAACAGTTGGTGTCTGTTTTTATTGAGTTAAAGGGATAGTTCACCCAAAAATGAAAATTCTGTCAGTATTTACTCACCCTCATGTTGTTCCAACCCCGTAAGACCTTCATTCATCTTCGGAACACAAATTAAGATATTTTTGATGAAATCTGAGAGCTAATCAATCCATACTAGTCCATAGGCTTCTTCAGGGATTGAACTTGGGATTGAAAAGTTATTAAAGACATCGTTAAAATAGTCCAAGTGACTACAGTGGCTCAATCTTAAGTTTATCAAGCGACGAGAATACTTTTTGTGCGCAAAAACAAACAAAAATAACGACTTTATTTCAACTATTCATTTCCTTCTCTTTGGGCCTCTAGTCAGTTAACGTAGTGTGATTCCGTAGAGCTACGTCACACGTAGGCTCACTATTGGCCGACACTGGTCATGTGCGTGATGCGTGTGACGTACAACAACAGAAGCTTACGCTATTACACTAGTGAACTGACTCGAGGCTCACAGAGAAGGAAATTAATTAGTTGAAATAAAGTCGTTATTTTTGTTTGTTTTTTGCGCACAAAAAGTATTCTCGTCGCTTGATAAACTTAAGATTGAGCCACTGTAGTCACTTGGACTATTTTAACGATGTCTTTAATAACTTTTCGACCTTTAAATACTTTTACTGGACTTTTACTTTTTTTAGCCATTACATCATAAATATTTAGCAAAAATGAGGACAAACATGAGGACAAACATTGCATGTCCAAGAATATGCGTTTTAAACTATATATTTTAATATAGTTCACCTTTTCATCATTTGTAGCTCCAGAGGTGGTTGGCAGACAGAGATATGGCAGACCAGTGGACTGCTGGGCCATCGGGGTGATCATGTACATCCTGTGAGTTCATGCGTCATCATCTATACATTTGATTCATTGTGTAAGACAGTCCAACATGTTAATTTCATTGTGCTCTTGAATGAGTATAATATTAAGTAATAATATTTATTAGTAGACCCCATAGATATCTGTTTTGGAGTCACTTGTTGCCTGACACGTCCTTGGAGTCATTCATGAGTTCATCAGCATGTACATTCCATTTCCTGTAGTCACATTGCGTGTTAGATGATCCATTGCCACTCTGTAAGTGCACTGCATTTCCTGTATCTAATTCTCTCTCTAATCTCTCCCAAACAATCAATTGCTCATGTAATGCTATACAGTCCTAATTATCTTCTTGCTCTAGGAAATTTTAACACTCTGGTCATATTATAATTTTCAACAGACTGTCAGGAAACCCACCTTTTTATGATGAGACAGATGATGATGAATATGATAATCACGATAAGAACTTGTTCCGGAAAATTCTGTCTGGAGAATACGAGTTTGATTCACCCTATTGGGATGACATCTCAGATTCAGGTACAATAGTCAAATCACTGTAGAGTATGTTTGGAATGAATCTTTAGGGTTGTGATCAAAAACACAAATTCAACTTAGCCATCTGAATTGCAGCAAAAAGCCTAGTTGCATGTTTAATGGATGTGGACCAGGACCAAAGACTGACTGCACAGGAAGCCATCAACCATGAGTGGTAAGGAGCCTTTTCCAGTGTCTTTTATAGGTAACACTTTACAATAAGCTTAATTCGTTATCATTAGTTAATTTATTAACTAACAATGAGCAATACATTTGTTACAGTATTTATTAATCTTTGTTAATGTTAGTTAATACAAATTCAGCTGTTCATTGTTTGTTCAAGTTAGTTCACAGTGCATTAACTAATGTTAACAAAGGCAACCTTTGATTTTAATAATGTATTATTAAATGTTGAAATTAATATTAACTAAGATTAATAAATGCTGTAGACGTATTGTTCATTCTTAGTTCATGTTAAATGATGTTAACTAATGAACCTTATTTTAAAGTGTTACCCTTTTATAATTAATCTTTGCAGTATTGTTTAAAAAAATAACTGCTGTGCATTTTTGTGTGTGTTTGTTGTTTAGGATATCTGGAAATGCTGCCTCAGATAAGAACATCAAAGATGGCGTTTGTGCTCAGATCGAGAAAAACTTTGCTAAAGCTAAATGGAAGGTAAGATGATCTAGTTGTGTCTGGTTGTTGCGTTGAGATACACTACCATTCCAAAGTTTGGTGTCAGTAAAACATTTTTTTCAAGAAATTAATACTTTTATTCAGCAAGCATTGAATAAATTATTGAATATAAGAGACAGTAAAGGCATTTATAATGTTACAAACAGTAGTATACGACTAGTGTATACGAAAAATTTGATGGGTTTACGTATTAAAAAGACATGTTTATTGATTAATAATTCATATTATTATTATTTGTTAAAACATTTATTAAAACATCATTATTATTGTTATACAGAAAGCTGTTCGTGTGACCACCATGATGAAGAGACTCAGGGCTCCAGATCAGAGTGACTCTGGAGCCTCTAGTCCTGCACTGGGAGCCTCAGGAGGACCTGTTACCCCCAGCACCACCCCTGTTCCCCTGGCTGCCACACCAGTGCCTCCCCACAGCACCCTGGTCGGCCAAGATCACCCCGAGGCCCAGGGGCAGGAGGCATCAGCTCCAACACGGTGCAATGGAGAGATGTTGACATCCCAGCAGCGTTAGTGGGGAGACTAGGGAGGAATAGAATGCTGGATACATTAAGAGAAATATAGTGACAAATAGAGCAGCACCATATTGAAATCTATTGGTGGAGCAAAGTTCAATTGTGCTTAGAAGCTTGATCGCCATTTTACATTTTCATTTGTGCAAAATGCTGTAATCTACGAAGAATTTAAAATGTAAATCCCAGACCCATAGTAGTCTGTCTGTATTTTCTTAAATAGATTTATCAAAGAAATACTGTTTGTTACTTCTCGAATAATACACACTGATTTAATTTCCAAAACTTGCTATTGTTAATTCAAACCGATTCAAAAATTCCTCCTCCAAACCTTTGCTGCCATTTACAGTTTATTTGTTTGGTTCTTAGTTTTAAGTTTATGTGTTAAGTTCTGTGTATGTGGTTATTTTTTTAAGCTTTATTTGTTACATACCTGAAACTTGCAAGTGGAAAACTATATGTTCTAGACCTTTGTTTTCCCCACATTGCAAGTCTTGAACTTTTTTTATTTATTTTTTTATAAATACAACTTAATGAGATTAATCTTAAAGCCATTATAGAAGATAATGCCCTCAAACACAAACAAAATGTATATTTTGCTTTATGTATATTTATGAAATAAAAAAAAGTTTGGACTTTGATGTAGACTTTCATATAGACCTTCTCCAATTGTCTGTTTGATGCAGAAGAGCACAGCTGCTGAATTACAATTCATATCAATATTTTGCATCACAATATTGGCTAACTAGCTATTAAAACTGCTGCTGTACTTCATTAATGTACGAATCATAATGTTATTATCAATACTATCATATCAATATAATATTATTTGGTGTTTTTGTACTGCTGAATCATGTTTCTTTTTCTTTCGCTGTACAATCCTACAAGAAATCATGTAGCTCTTTTTATTTAATCTGCCCGTATATCTGTATTCTGATGAGCACTGCATTTTATATAGAATGCAACTGGTGTCATTCAGTCTTAAATACATTGAGGACTATGGGTTTCCAGAACGTTCTGTAAATGTGCAGTACAAACGAAGCAATATGAATATTGCTGTAATACTGTGAAACTGCTATACAGGTGATAAGATGTTCCTGCCATATTTCATACAGGTAGCCAAGCAATTTGCTCTTGATGGTCATTTGTGTTCTCGACATGATCTTATAGCTGTGTATATTATGTCCTGTTAATGTATTCTGCCAAATCCAGACTTTATTTTGACTGTCCATGTGGAGAGAAATGAAACAAAATGTCTTTAAACTGCAAATCCCACTGTAGCTACTGTCCATTATGGCCTATTGATTTGTTTAATGTTGTTAGTTTTACTTATCTGTCTTTAGCATGACCTCATGGTGATCACAATCAAATGTTTATTTTTAATAATTTGCTAAATATACTCCTCATTGTATATAGCTTCACTGAGTTGTATCTGTTAGTATTATCTCCATAATGTAAAAGGTAATGTAAGGACGTACATTTTGTTTGACCTCTATGTGCAATAGTTTGACCTCAGATCAATTTTTTTTTCCTGTTTATGTTTTCCTCTTTAGGATGCACTGACTGCAGGCTCTGTAAACATTGAAATATATTTTCTGAGAAAAGTTTTCGTAAGAGAAGACAGAGCAGAAAAATAAGTGATCGTAAACTCAGTTAAATATGTGTGAATGTGATTTGGATTTTCATGTATCAGCTCAGCCTAAAGTGTTTGTCACTGTTTATTTGTGGCTTCTGTATTTTGTTACTCGATATGCAGAATAAATGTTTTTGGGCAGTGTAAGTATCTATGGTGCTTCGTATTTCTGGTCTAGTACTAAATTTAAACAAAACATTTTGCAAATAAAACTGTACCTGTGTCCTCTGATAGCAATTGCTATATTGTGTACAGTTGTGAATGTGTATTATGGCAGTAGTAAAAATCCATATTACATGTATAATACTTTAAATTATAATACACTTTTTTGACAGACAGACAGATATCCGTTACATTTGCAATAAACTACTTTCATAGGGTAACTCATCTTGTTTTTAAAACTACAACTCCCATTAGCCTCATTCACCGGAAACGGAGTATGCACTCTTCCGCCTCTTTTGGTAAACCCAAGGACCCCGCGGAAAGAACACAACAAGCTAGGTGAGACGTCTTAAAATGTTTGTACAGACATTTAGGAGAAGACATTTTCCATTTTTAGTTGTTGCTTTTTCTAAAATAAAGATGGATTAAAAAAACGTTGTTTAATTCGTCCATATCTACGTGACATGAAGAAAATGTCTTGACTAAGAGCTAAAGTTAGCACGTTAGCGTTCTTTTATGACGGCGGGTTTGTGAGATGAATGAAGAAATAACCTGCCGCCTTATTTATACATATTTGAGTTCTCAAACTAGTATTTTGACATGATGCTCATTTGTATTACTCACACAACGATGTATTTGACATCTAGTTTGACCTCAGCGCTTTTAGATACTCACAATAGTCAGACGTATTGTGTTAGCATGAGGGTTTGACAACGTAACGTTACTTGCTTTTCCGTCTGAAACTCAATCCCAAATTCCCTGAAAAATGGCATTAAAACGGTTTTCATAAGACCTCGTCGTGTTGCTATGCATTTGCCTTTTAGAACGTTTAATAGTTAATGAAATGCGTTATGCCTTCTATGACAGTATATCTCAGAATATTGGACGTTATGTGACAATAGATTAAATGATCTTTCATGATCAGTTCTATTATTTATTTCCCAAGTGAAACGACGTTCTGCACGCGAAACTCGTGCTGAAGGGAAAGTTTCAAGGAGAGGAGGAACACAATGTGGAACGGTTCAAGACCTGGACCACGAGGAGGAATGCCCTTTCGGTAAGAGATCTTAAATCAAGTACACTTCATCGGATGCTCTCACAAACAACAGTATGTCATCAATTGTTGTGTTCCTATTGGTTCTTTATTGTATACTGTGGGACATGCAACCTTTTGCCATGTGATGGAAGAAACATTTTATGAAATAACCCAAAACATATTTGAACATTAAGAACACAATAACTGTGGGCCTTAAATTTAGTCTTAAGTCTTAAATTTAGGTCGTAAACGGCTTATCTTAAATGGTATTAAAAAGTCGCAATTATAATTTCAAGAGGACAGAAAAACAGGAATATAAAATTCCTTTTCTTAAAAAAATGATTTAAAGGCTGAAATGTGAGGTTTATTATTTTATAATACTTTGGTTTTTGAACTGTTGTTGTTTTTCACATCATCATTTTACAGTCCTTTTACTGTTAAGATGTTAATCATACAATATTAATTTTATTTGTGCAAGCCTTAAATTTGATTTTTTTTAAACCATGCAGTAGGGGTGTAACAAAACACAAACCTGACGGTTCGGTTCGTCCCACGGTTTTGAGGTCTCGGTTCGGTTCATTTCGGTGGGGTGGGGGGGTTTAGAAAGCTAAAATTGCTTTTATTTTTTATTAAACAGTGCTTTAATGAACAAATTGTGTCCTTGTCTTTAAATTAATTCAATTACAAGTAAACGTTTCTCAAGGATAACAAAATTATCTGCTAATGCTGTAAACTACAGCCCTTACTTGCACATTACTATAACATTAAAGCTTAACAACAGAGCCTAGACTTTTAGCCTAAATGATATAATAATAATCAACACTCAAATAACAAATTGTATGAAAACATGTAAACTGCACATAAGGCAATTTTTGCATTAACATATTGTTACTCTAATTTGTTATTGTTATATAATAATTTAAACAGTTGCTGTTATTTTCATGACAACTATTTTAAACATACATTAAATAATCAAGATATCATAAACAGGTTAAGTAAAATATAATATATAGGCTAATATATAGCATTTATTTAGTGAAAGAGTTAGCAAACCAGCAAGCTGTGGACACTGAATGACTTGCCTGAGGTAAATATAAAGCTATGTAAAAAACTAAGCGTTTTATTGACGTATTTCCGCTGTTGAAACACTGATTGAGTGTTTACACGAGTTATGATGCCTTTCAGTAAGTATACTGTATCTTTCAACATACCTTCGGGTGTCCATTCATGTTTATTCTGTAACTGAGGAAGAGATGATCGCGCTCCGCGCTGCCGCATGCATACAGTGATATCTGTCACGCCACATCTAAGAGCGCCAAAACGGCATTTATTGTTTGCATTTCGTGATCAAATAGACATAATTTGAAAGATCACACCTTGCTTATTATCAAAAGTAACAAAACACTGAGCTTATTGCGATTATATGTGGTTAATGGTGGTTAGGCAACAGCCCTGTATTGGTTGTGTACACATAACACATGAGGTGCAATGAGCCGGGGCTGGGCGGGGCAGCAGGGGGCGGGGCGTGTTCGGTTCGCCATGAGAGTATCGCGATACGTATCGTATGGAAGCTTATGTGTAGCAATATTCAATTTGAAATGTAATATGCAAAATGATAATGAAATATGTAAAATGACAATGCAATATGTAAAATGGAAATGCATTTCTGTATTTAAATTTACATTTTCCATTACATTTGTTTAACGTTTGGTGCAAAATGAAAATGATAATTCAATTATGTAATTTACATTTGCCATTTCATACACATGTTTTAATATGTAAATTGAATACATATTTTAACGCTTTATAAGTTGCAAAATTAAAATGAAAATGTATTAAAGAAATTATTAGATCTGTTTAAAATGTTCAAGCAAAACCTGTAGCAAAATGATCATTTAAATGTTATTTTTCTTAATTGCATTTACATTCACAGTTAAGACACTTGCAATTGCATTTTCATTAAATGTCCCGCAATGAATGTAGCAAAATTCAATGTGCAAATTGAAAATGCATTCCGAGCCGATCACGCCCCTGCCCCGCCCCCTCCCGCTCTTGTCAATCACTGCGTGAAGTTGGCCCCGCCCCCACCCAATGCAAAACGTTGGCAAAATAGGCTCAATCGTTTTTACTTCATTTGTGCTGTTACTTTGCTTTATTGTTTGTGCTGCTTCGATTTTTTAGATATTTAAAGAATATTTATAGGTCATTCTGAGGTCACCCAGCCCCCCACATCCTCCAAATAAAATAGTCTCGTTCGTTTGTGCCGGTTAAAGTTTTGTTTGTGCGGGTTCGGTTTTTAAAATATAAGACCAATTATAGACGATGACATCAAAACCCGGCAGATTCCGTGATGAGTGATGACCCTATATATTTATAAATATCTGACCAATATGCTTTATGAAATAGAAAAGGGAGATGGTTAAACATCACATGAGTCACTTTGTTGAACATTACAGTCAGTTATGAAGAAATAAAGAGCGGTCAAATCTTTTGGTAGCTATGAATTTGACCCGTCATATTCTGTGATTTTAGAGTAGGTGCATTTGCAAAGAAAACCTGTAGGATCTACAACATTATTGGGTAATTATAGTTAATAGTAATAAGAATAAAGTTAAGCATATGTGTAACAGACAATGAGAATATTTAATACAAAACGAAACCATCATTAACAGAGTCCTGCATCAGATAACAACAGCGCAGCATAATGTTGACATCAAACGGGTGATAAGGCAGAACATTCTCCCAGACCGTCCAACAACGCACTTGTTCTATCACCTGCAGACGCGTAATAATCTTCGGAAACACTACAATTTCTCTGTTAGTGTTCACGCTCCCCTTCATCTGCCAGTAAATTTACGCTCGTACCAGCTCTGCCGCCGCCATGTTTCCTTCCAACACCTCAAAATGTTGCCGAGCTCCGCCTTGATGCAGTGATTGACAAGAGCGGGAGGGGGCGGGGCAGGGGCGTGATCGGCTCGGAATGCATTTTCAATTTGCACATTGAATTTTGCTACATTCATTGCGGGACATTTAATGAAAATGCAATCGCAAGTGTCTTAACTGTGAGTGTAAATGCAATTAAGAAAAATAACATTTAAATGATCATTTTGCTACAGTTTTTGCTTGAACATTTTAAACAGATCTAATAATTTCTTTAATACATTTTCATTTTAATTTTGCAACTTATAAAGCGTTAAAATATGTATTCAATTTACATATTAAAACATATTTATGAAATGGCAAATGTAAATTATATAATTGAATTATCATTTTCATTTTGCACCAAACGTTGCACAAATGTAATGAAAAATGTAAATTTAAATACAGAAATGCATTGCCATTTTACATATTGCATTGTCATTTTACATATTTCATTATCATTTTGCATATTACATTTCAAATTGAATATTGCTACACATAAGCTTCCAAAGTATCGTGGGTGGTGTATCGCGGTTTTTCAGTTTGGTTCAAATATCGTTACACCCCTACCATGCAGATACCCTGTGTTGAACTAGCAGACACAGTATCAAACCAAATAGCCTTTATTTTCAAGAAATACAGAACTGTGCAAAAATCTTAGGCCACTACTAGCTTTGTTGTTTTAGCAAAGTTTTAATGAACATCCATATTTATTTTTCGGTCTCTTTAAGATACAAACTGAAAATACAGGAAATATGTACACAAATTCAGAACAAAATTGCTTCTTTAAGCAAAAATCAGTATTTAGTGTGACCTCCTGGACTACTTCCAGTTTCTCAAAGTAGAAACTCTGAATTCTTTTCTGACTCATATTTTGAACCTTTTCTTGGCCTTCCAGTCCTTTTCCGTTCCATTTAGGTTTAAGAGAGCCTGGTTCCTGCTATTGCTCAAGTGTAAGGGGAGATCACTTAATGTTTGCCACTTTAAACCTATAGAAACCGTTTTTTCCAGTTTATTTCTGTTTTTTAAT